CACACACACACACATATATATATATATATATATGTGTGTGTGTGTGTGTGTGTGTGTGTGTATACATACATATATATATATATATATATCAACATAAAAAGGAGCTTGCTCAGAAAGTGAAATACACCAAGTAAATGAGATGAAGAGTGTGAAGCAGAGGAGAGAGGTAAGGTAAGAAGAGAGGGATAGGAGAGAGGGCGGCGGGGGGAAGAGGAGGAGAGAAAGGAAGAATGGAAAGGGGAGAGAGGAGGAGAGAGGAGGAGAGAGGAAGGGGAAGTAGAGAAGAGAAGGGTGACAGAGGAAGCAAGGAGGTAGGGAGGGGGAGGAGAGAGGGAAAGGACGTGATGGATAAGTACAAATATGGTGTTTGGAGAGCAGAAGAGCCAATAATTATTTTTGGGAGTTAATGGTAAGATGAATTAATGTAAACATTTCATAATACAATGCGATGTTGGCTATGTAATAGTATACATGTGGGTTATACCTTATGAAAATGAAAATATATAAAAACTGAAAGTTACTGCATATAAAGTAAACAACATGTTACCTCATTCTGTTGCCCAACACCATTAATGGCTTGCTGCTGATTCTGTTCTAGCCACTGTGGTGCACCTCCATGGACAATTTGTTCACGTAACCATACAAGGCTGATAAACGCACAGAGTGTGCACGTCACAACAAAACAACCTTGCAAACAGTCTGCCAATAAATTCTCCCTGTTGAAGAGATATCCAACACATTATACAACAGTTGACATAACCGTTAGTAGAAATCACTGCTGCTGATTGCCTCTACTATCAAGTACCCATAAGGCAAAAAACATACTTTGGTAGCTTGTAATTATTTCAGCTTCCATCTATTCTATCCATTTCCTTACAAATTAGTCTGCTATTGAATAAAAGTCATTATCAGCAAATTATAAACCGCAAGTTTATTCCATTTTATATTAATAACCATGCTAATTATGGTTATATCATACCAATTAATATAAGAACTCCTTAGCCATTAATTTTCTACGAATAATTAATATTTATTTATTCATTCATTATTAAACTTATTTGTTGCCCATGTCACTGTGGGGCTACTCTGGACTGCTTAAAACATTAGAATGTAAAATTACAAAATATTATAATATTAATATTAAAGTAATATTATAATAGTTCATATTTGTACTTCCTAGTGGTTTTTGTATCTGACAAGTAGTGCATGAATACAGTATAAAATTGGAATGAAAACCACAAATCATTGCAGGTACCTTCCCCATATTATTGGACATTAGCATTATTAAATAATATTTCCTTTTATAAACATTTTAAACTAAACTGAAGTGATTTTTAACATCCAGCTTAATGTTTAAAGTCTTGACTCTTACTTTATTTACAATTTAAAATAATGGTCTGATATTCTTTCACAATATTATTAATGTGGCATATATATATATATATATATAT